TAAGTTATCCTTTATTCTGTGAAGAACGCCTAGTATCTTGGATATCTTAGTCTCAACATGTTTTATATGCGCTTCCAAGATAAATTTTCGTCGACTAGAGTGCCAAGAAAATTACTAACATTGGTTCTCTCTATTGTGATTCATATTTAAGTTTATTTTGTTGTAATCTATTATTTTGTTTAATGTTTTGAATACAATCAATCAAATTGAAGTAGTTCTGTAACTGTTCTGTTTCAATTTTGAATGCATCTGACCCCCCCCCAACCCTTGTCTGATAGTTTTATGAAAAATACGTTGTCTGCATAAGGATTAACAGTGAATTGAGTAAATTCAATGGGACAACATGCATTCGAGTTGACAGCGTACACCTATGATTTTTTAAATTATAGGCCTAGCCAAAATGTTAAATCTTCAACCTTAAAATCTTGGACCTTTATTGTGCTGTTTAAAGAAACATATTCTCATAAAAATCATCGACACTCTTAGACGACAGGGGAGGAAATGATCAAAGGAAATGTGTAAAAACACAACATGATCCAACCGACCAAGTATATGGGTAGATTGACGACGAAGAAAATCGAGCACTGTTCGAAATTTTTTTAACATTATTTGAAAGTTAAATGTCTTCCTAAACGAATACACAAAACTTTAACATGAAATCCTTAATGCATTCCTCAGATTATTTTTTTAAAACCTACATCAAACCTACATCATTGTCATTGCTTCAAATCGGTTAAATAGTGACATCGTACATCTAAAGTGTACTACGGTATATTTTGTCACTGTACCTTGTAGATGGTTAGGCGTGTGTCACCCCTTTAAATGATCATCCCACGGAACGAAGTTCGCGGGGGATACAGAAAAGCCGTCCGTCCATTCGTGTGTCCGGGCAATGACTCGAATACCGGTTGACGGAGTTCATTCAAATTTTATAGGCTTATGCCTTATGGTGATAGAACCTCTGCTCGAGAAGGAATTTTCAATATGGCCGCTTAATTCAAAATGGCCGCCATTTTTCGTAAAAAATATAATCTTTGAAAACTCAAATCCTGGTTTTTGGTTTAAATTACTAGGATTTGGTTCAAATTGTATATGCTGATGCCTAGGAAGTTAGGAACAAAGGAATTATGCTTAAGAGATTTTCAAAATGGCTGCTAAATTTCAAAATGGTGGCCATTTTTTCGTAAAAAAACATAATCTTTGATAACTAAAATACCAGTGAACGGATTTAGTTCAAATTTTATAACATGATGACTAGGGACAAAGTAGATTTGTTCGAAAAAGTATTTTTAAGATGGCGGCTGAATTTCAAAATGGCTGCCATTTTTCATAAAAACGTAATATTTGATAACTCAAATACTAGTTGACGGGTTTTGATGCCTAGAGGCAAAACAGCTAAGCTGAAGAACATATTTTCAAAATGGCTGCTAAATATCAAAATGACGGCCATTTTTCGTAAAAAAAACGTAACCTTTGATAACCAAAACACCAAATAACGGATTTGGTTCAAATTTCATAAGATGATGGCTATGGACAAGTAGATTCTGAGATTTGTTCAAGAAAGCATTTCCAAGATGGCAGTAGAATTTTAATAAAATGTATGCCATTTTTCGTAAAAAACTTAGTCTTTGATAACGTAAATACTAGTTGACGGATTTGGTTCGAATTCTATATGCTGATGCCTAGACAAAGGAGATACACTGAAAAGGAGTTTTTAAAAATGGCTGCTAAATATCAAAATTTTTCGCAATTTTTGGGGGGGTTTGGTCAGAATTTTATATGATGATGCCTGGGATCAAGATCAAGATCAAGATCAAGGATCAAGATGGCAGTTGAATTTACAAAATGGCCAGCGTTTTTCATAAATAAAGCGTACTCTTTAATAACTCAAATACAAGTCGATGGAATTGGTTCAAATTTTATATGCTGATGCCTAGGGACATAGTAGCTACACTAAAGAGATTTTTAGATTGGCTGCTAAATATCAAAATGGCGGCCATTTTTTGTAAAAACGTTATCTTCGATATCTCGAATATGAGTGAACGGATCTAGATCAAATTTTATATGATGATGCCTAGACACAGTGCCTGTGTTTGACAAAGTAATTTCAAGATGGCAGCTGAATTTACAATGGCCGCCATTTTTTGTAAAAAATGTAATCTTTGATAACTCAAATAGCAGCGAATGGATCTTGTTCAAATTTTATAAGCTGATGCCTAGGGACACAGTAGCTCTGTTTGTAATAACTAAAATATTTTTGTTCGGTGGGATTTGCTACTCCGTGGAGTGGAAAATTTTACAACTTCAATACTCTTTTTTATTAACAGGTGTAAAAGGGTAGGAGGTCCTATTTATTTGTGGTCCTACTCTCCATTGATTTATATGATGACCCCTTTCCCTTATTATCTTATACACAATCAGGGCCAGTAAGGGCCGTTGAGAAAGGGGACCATAATCCCTGGGGGACCGTAATTTCTTTCACAAAATACTGTATGTATTGATTGCTTTTGGTAATTAGGTCAGTTGTTTACACATAAATAGGTTGTTCAGTGTGCCAAGAGCGGGCAAAGATATTCCAACAATTGAAACAGCGTGTGCAAATACTTTTGGCATGGTTTTTGCACTGCTTTGCACGTTGTGTGCCAAGAAGTGCATAGATGTGTAAAGAGTTGGATTCATTGCTTGCCAAGAGGTGTAAATAATTGGCACGCTTAGAAACCTGGTGTGCAAATACCAGTTTCTAGACGTGTCAAGAGTTGGAATCCCATAATTCACGCAGTGTGAGTTTTGGAATTTTTTGTTAGGAAATAAGACCAAAAATTCACGATTCAAATGTTGAAGTGGACAAAATGGCGGCTGTTTGCATTCACATTTTGTATCACGATATCTCCATATATGGTACAGAATATCGATCAGAATATATATATTTATATAAATACTCAATGCACGCTAGGTCAGGATAATATGTAATATTAATATTCCTAAAGCTGAGTTCACACCAACGGCGCTTTGATGGCGCTTTAATGCGGCGTGCAAAGCCACTTTGCACGCCGCAATAAAGCGCCGTCAGGGCGTCGTTGGTGTGAACATGAGAGTGTGAACTTAGCTTATCCTTGCGATATTCCCCATATCAAATCCCTCCTGGTGAATAACTTACTTGCTATTTACATTAATATCTTTGAAATGAAGGAATATTGATATCATCCTTGCGATATTCCCCATATCAAATTCCTCTTGGTGAATAGCTTATTTGTATGCTATTTACATTAATATCTTTGTGGTGAACAGGTGAAGGGTGAACAAAGTCTGCATTCAGAAGGTCTACAAGACTTAGAATTATACAGTTTATTATACAAAGCATTTCAAAATAGCGATCTTATTAGTCATAAATATTGCAATATTGCAATCATAAACATATTGCCTAGTTTTCAATATTTCAACAAAAAATTAGCAAATCTAATTTTATTCATTATAATGAGCAACAACATGACTTACAGCCAATTCAACATATCTTTCTCTTATCTGTGTTCAAATCCATCTGGAATCGTTGTTACAAGAGGTTTCTCCATATTTCTCCCATGCAAGCATTTTATATTTCATTTTGGTCACCTTTCCTTTATTGCTGGAAAACTCCATAGCAACTAGGTCAAGAATAGCAGCTTTAATTCTCAATTATGTATAATTATCATATTACATACACGGTATAAGGTTCGCTTGGAAAACTTGTGGAGCTGTCACATTTTGGCCGTGTGTGCCCACCATCACCGTTCGCCACCATGTGGATACGTTGGAGCTGACGACGGGGTACGGCATTGTATACACAGTTGGCAAAACAAATAGTTTCACAGCAAGATATCCTACATCATGCCAAATACAATGATTAAAAAACCAATGCCCCAAATTACCCACATGGTTGCGAACGGTTAGCCCACTAATGAGACTACAGTACTAAACAACATTGATTCATGGTTCAATAAATGATTCATGGATTTGTTGGAGTGAAGATTTCCCATGTTAAAAATAAGAGAATTTTCAAAAAGTCATAAATCAGTGGATGAGAGTGTACAAAATATAAAATATACAAATAAGGGGATATGTATCTAGACAATATTGGAACTACTAGCTACTAACAAGTGATTTTAGACAGTCATATATTTCACCATGAGTACTTTCTGGGCATAAATACAGTGGTTTTCATTAAAACAATGTGTTTTCATTCAAGTGAAGTACACATGATAAAAACATAAATCAAACAATTCAAAAAATTATGAATAGGGACCCCATGTCAGCATTTTTTTCAAAATATTGAACCTATTTACTCAAAGAGGATCTTCTTTTCTGATTTTTTGTTGCATGAAAACATTATTTAACAAGGGGTCTAAGGCATGTTCAAAAATAGAATGGTATTGAAAGTCTAGTTTTGAAGATATCAATTTTCGATGACCAAAACAATGCTGAAAACAATGGATAGCACGAGTTTTCCCTATGTGGAAATAACATGGGATATGTGATTTTTATTTTTAACTCATTTCAATACCCATCCCCTTTTCAGAAATTGTTTATCATGTTAATATAGTGTACAGGAGACTTTCAATATGTTTAAATTGAGAAAAACAAGATCTTCTTTTTAGAAAATAAGCCTAACAGTTTTCAAAAAGTGCCAGGGTGGGCCCTAATCCATAATTTTTCAGAGAATTGGATTGATATTTTACTATCATTGGGACCTCACTTGAAAGAAAACATATTGTTTTAATAAAAGCCAGAAAAGCTAGAAAGTAATCATGGTGAAAGATATGACTCTCTAGAATCACTTGCCATTCTGCACTTGGTCTTTTATTACCTGTTTCGAATTGTTTTGATAGAGTGGAATATCGAATGGTTGTAATCGAATACAAACGTGTGAAAATCGAATAAAGATGCAGAAAAAATCCCATATCAAGTTGGCATTCACCTTGACCCGACCGGAGAGTATTAAACCTCGGAATTTCGTAACCTCGTTTTTTGGCAATATTTGTAAATTATGTAAATCGTGCATAAAATGTGTAGAAATCAAGTTGACCATTTGAGTTTATCTAATCTGACTTGGGAGGCCGAGAAGACAACAGCAGCGAAGCTAACAGCTTGTAAAGGAGAACTCGGAGAAAAAGATGTTGAACAAAATAATTTTGGGAGGACTGGCACTTGTGTGTCTGGTGAACATAGCAAGTTCCGCGCCAGGAGAAGAATATGGGTATGTTCCCGATTATATATATTTACAATTAATCATAAATATTTCTAATCATTGAGGAAAACATCTGATATGGTAATATCCTCACTCACCTTGTGAACAATAAGTGATCAGATTGACAATGTATTACAGTTAGAAAATTTAGTCAGCACTTGCACTACGTAATACTTTCTCCAACTCTGTTTCAAAAACGTTTTGCTCCGTTATAATATATATGGAATGTTTGATGTGTGAACCGCGCTCAGTCGGCTTAGGGTGATACTGATTGGTTTTTGGCAAGGTGATTTTTAATTGGGATGTTTAATTGGTTTGCATATCATCATTACTTTGTGTTTTTATCGATAATTATTGTGTCAAGCGTTCTTATTTACTTTGCGTATCTTTTGTTTTACGATCGTCATATTTTATTAGATGTATTAATGTTGTATAAAATAGTGAAACGTTATCTAAATAATAGTCTTTCTTAAATGTATTTTTAACGTATTTATCAGATTGATGTTTATCCGCATTTTAAACACATGGAAACGTTGAGTAAATGTATGTGCACTCAGAATGTTTTTTCGTATTTTCAGGGAGACTCTTGATTACATCGACTCGTTCATCAATACAGAAGAACGTTCAGTTGGAGAAGAGGGACTTGACATTGCGAAGCGGGTAAGAATTTTTTTCAAAAATATAGTGACTGTGTTTGCATTTAGTTGAGCAAACAAAAATCAACAATCGCTATTTGAATACCTTACTAGTATGTCATTAAAAGAGGTACGTACACTCCCCTCCATAAGTTTGACATCTTTTTTCCTCCATTGAACTACGTGTTAAAGCCTCTTTATCTTTGAATTTTTATTTACTTAACCTGCGATAGAAATGTACTTATTCTATTGATGGAAACGTAATTTGACTTTAATTCCAATACCTCCAAATTTTCTCACTTTTTTCCTCAATTACAATGGGTCGAAAATTGATGATGAATTTGATGAATTTTTAAAATCGACATTCCCATGTAAAACAATGGGAAATGGTAGGTTTGCCGCAAATCATATGACGGAATATCCATCCATCCGAGTCCTTGCAAAAAATACGAGTTAGGCAGGCAATTGAATTTGCTAACTTTATTTAACAAAGAATTGATATGTTTATCCAGGTTCAACAAAGTTATAGGGCTTTAAAGTCAAAATTGTTTTTTTCAAAGAACCTCTCCCATTGAAATAACACAAGAGGCGAAAAATCATTTTCAAACATGAGTTTGAAGCGCTGTAACTTAAATATTCATTAAATAAACTAAACATTTAGTGTTAAAAAGTTAGACAATTCAATTTTCTATATAAAAATATTTTATGCTGAATCTTTTACTGAAAAGGTATCCTGATTTCTGATTTGCCCCGAACCCTCCATTTCCCATTGGATTACATGGGAATGTCGATTTTCAAAAATTCATCAAATTTATCATCAATTGTCGACCTATAGTAATTGAGGAAAAAAATTGAGAAAATTTGGAGGTATTGGAAATAAAGTCAGGTTACGTTTCCATCAATATTATAAGTTATTTCATGGCCGGTTAAGTAAATAAAAATTCAAACGTAAAGAGGCTTTAACACGTAGTTCAATGGGGAAAAAAGGTTGCCAAACTTATGGAGGGGAGTGTATCTAGCGGTGAGTTGAGCTTTGTTTTTGGTAGATAATTTAAGTTTCAAATCTCAGAATCTGGGAAGATATTTTCGCCATTTTCAGACACACCCTATGCTTAGTGAGCGGACCTAATTTCAAGGGTGATGGTAAAGACGAGGCATGGCGCCCAAAAACCAAAGAATATTAGTACCATAATCTTTTAAGTCGTATTATTGCAGCATTAGGTGATGATATTGTGATATTTTATGCTGTTTTAGAAGTGAAAGGTGTTAAACTATGCATACCGTTTGCTTTACATCCAATAAAACGAATAGTTAAGATGAAACAGTCGTTTAAAGATACAATTTGAATTTACCGCAAGAAATTACAACCTAATATTGTCAATATGTCAATAATTCCTGATCGATGTCACATATAAAGATATATGTACCTAGATATGTTTTATTTTTTCATATATGCGAAATAAGGCGGTCTCTAGTTATGTACATCCAATACAAAATGAATGTTTACTATTCGGCGATCAGAACTTCGATGACGAGCAATGGCGATGTAATTTGCGAAGAAAGCATCAGTGCACCTAGTTACAGGCCAGGTTTGGGCGCCATGCATCGTCTTTACCATCACCCTTGAAATTAGGTCTGCTCACTAAGCATAGGGTGAGACAGTGCCCGTCGAGAAATTCTCGAACATTTGGTTCAAGTCGCAGCTTATTATTTGGTCATCTGCGATTCATTTCTGGTTTGTTTTGTTAGTTGCAATGTTAACTTTATGTGTCGGTAAAGCCGCACACGTTGTTTGATTATTGCTCGTGTATTTTTATCTTGAAAACTTTGGCAAAAGGCTGAAGATTCGCACATGTTTATAATGCAAGAATTTTGCATACTTTTCTGTTGATTTTAGTTGAACATCGGTTATCATTTTACGTACTATTTGTGAATTGTATCTTTGTTCAGGATTTGACGACGATGCATAGGTAGATAAAGATATAACTTTGTTGGGTGCAACGTTGATTTTTGTTCCTATCTACTTGATTAAGTGTATTTTGAAAATCCCGAGTGAATAAAATGTTCCTGATTCAAAAAATATATAGAAGTTTCTTTAACTAAGAAAGTTATGCATAACATAATATGGTAAAACAGTTTCTAAGTGAGAAGAAAGGATACATACTACCTTTTTACGAATGACTTGTCATTTCAGCATAATTATTAATTGTTTCTTTCGAGAATCAGTGAGTTATTCTAATTGTTCTCAAAACAATAACATTTATTTGCATCTTATAGGCTTGCGTAGAAACATCGACATTCTAAAGCCATAAACCCAGTTGTCTCAAATATATTTTAAAACAGTCAATATTACCAAACGAAAGTGGTCGTTCTACGGAGATTTATTGTCAGGGTCGTCACGCATCTGAATAGGCGCCATATTTAAAATTTAAATTGACTGAAGAAACAAGTTTGCGATACGTGCCATGGTATTACAGGAGCGTTAGGGTAACGATAGGCATACTAAGCAAACGGTGCCAAGAAAAGAATACTATTGGCAATATTAAAACTCTGTATATTTCAAATTGTCTATTCCATGCTTAAATCATACTCTTAATCTCCATCGAGACTGGATTTTATCTATCCCACATCATTTGAGACTGAATACTCTTGTATGAGCACTAGTATCTACAACTATTTTTCATGTTATGAGTATTGGCTATCAATTTTGCAATTTTGTTCAACATGTATTGTAATGACTTCAGTATGAATGAAATGTCCCTTGGTGTTCTGGTCCAGGATTGTTATATTGGTTCTCGATTGGACGGGGGTAGGGGGATGTTAGACATTGTTTCTTTTCAAGTTAGATTATGGTTTTGGGATATATAGGGTATACTTTTCTTATGACAGATTTACACTTATAGTTTGCTTTTCTTGTTGGGTTTCTTTAAAGTTTTTAGTCACTATTCCCTTTGGAATTTGCGCTTATATATTAATTGTAGCTGTTGGAGTTTCCGACGGTGGCCATACATGTTATTTCATTTATACAACGCTTGATTTTGACAAAATTCGTGCCAACTTGGCATCCGTGTCGATCGTGTCATTTCTTTCCAACTTAATATCAGACTATATTAGTCGGAGCTCTAATATTTAACAGTTAAACACGAGTAAACACGATGGTAGCCTAACCTTAATATTTTGTATTTGATACATATATAATAGTAACCTTAACATTTTGCATTTCCATATATAATAGTAACTTTAACGTTTTGTATTTGATACATGTATAAAAGTAACCTTAAAGGGTGACGCATATCGTTTAGCAAATCGAACGCTCGTTTCTGGTGTTGCTCACCGTTTAGTATAAAAGGCCCGATCCCGGAATAATACTCAAGGGTTCACAGGTTCGAGGTTGTTGTGTCAACACCTCTAACTGTTATATAGCATAAGTATATTATAGATCGTCACACATTTATAAAAGGGTGATTTTTATTTTGACAAATCAATTCCACATTTATTGGTGAAGTTTCAGGATCTTCTATTTGTGAATAATAAGGAAAAATTGGCATCTAAATTTCCCCATAACGTAATAGCACACATCTTGGCATATGAACTATCCTACAAATGAAACAAAGCAAGACAAACCGGTTTCTAATACAAGGATTTATATTGGCTGTTGTACATATATTCTTTGATCGCAATCACTCTTTGGATAACGTTTTCAAAATCATTATAAACGGATTACTTTATCTCAAAGACAATTTCAATAAACTGGATTTTACAGAACTCCCCTTATTTCTTAAAAATGGACTGATCCAGTTGATTCGCCTGGAGCCGCCATATTGTTTTTTACGGGATTCTAATCGGAACCCTTTAACATTTTGTATTTGAACCAATATAATATTAACCTTGACATTTAGTATTTGATACATAAACAGGATGTTCATTAAGTTCGTGCAAAGATACTCTAAAAATTCTGTTTCTGAGTCAATCTGGCTGAAATGTTCACTCTGTATAGGTCCACTATTAGCACATTGAAATCCTAAATTATAAAGAAAAAAGGTTATGATTGCTATAGTAACGAGAGTCGGGTGTAGGCTAAGCAGGCAAAGGGATCCGTTCCGTATGAATATTCATTTTTTTATTTTGTCCTATTCATTTTTTTATTTTGTCCTATTTATTTTTCTAACAGTATCTAAAGGACAGATGGGGACACCCATTTGGGAAATATCTGGCGATTGATCCTTGTATGGATCTCATAATTTCTCCTAAGGTCGAATGATGAATTCCACCAAAATCATTCACAATTCTTCCTGAAACCCCAAAGTCAAGGGGTGCCTTGTCAGGTGAGTAGAGAGCTTGATTTTGTCGACCCATCTTCAATTTGTTTGAGAAAATATCCTTGACAAGATATGAGGTGTTACTTGGGGGGGGGGGGGGGTATCATCACGATAAGTATAGTAGCTGGGATCCCTTGGTTTTTCATGCATTACTCTCTTCTTGCGAATGGCATATGTGAGGAATGATTTAGTGAAATTCGTCATTCGACCTATTAGGAGAATTTATGGCATCCATGCAAGGATCAATTGCCAGATATTTTTCAAATGGCTTCCGCCATCTGCTTGCGGAAATAGGTAGTGAGACAGTATAGGTTAATAGACCATGATGGACACTATGTTGAACACCTATACCCTTGAGATACTATTAGTAAAATAAATAGGACAACATTTAAAAATGTGAACATTCAAACAAAACAGATCCTTTTGCCTGCTCCGCCTAACCCCGACTCAGGTTGCGATAGAAACCATATATTTTTTCTTTATGAACCCATTCCTTGTAATTTTGGATTTCAATGTATGAATAGTGGAGGTATACTGAGTCAAAATTTCAGCCAGATTGAAACCCAAATTTTAGAGTATCTTTGCACAAACTTAATGAACGCCCTGTATATAGTAGCTTTAATGTTTCGGATCTGATACATATATAATAGTGACCTTATCATTTTGTATTTGATACATACATAATATTAACCTTAACATTTTGTATTTGCATATATAATTGTAACTTTAAGGTTTTGTATCTGATACATATATGATAGTAACCTTATCATTTTGTATTTGGTACATGTATAATAGTAACCTTAACATTTTGTATTTCATACATATATAATAGTAACTTTAACGTTTTGTAGTTGATACAAAGTAACTTTAACTCAGCGCTAAAATTCTAAAATTTCAAGGCGACCAACTGCATCTAAAATATAGAGATGCGACTGTCGAAATTACGCCATTCAATGTCACGTTGCCATAAGTGTAACGAAGCGTATGGTATACTTGACAATAAGATTTGAGACAACCGAGTATTTAATGATTTGTAAATGTATATCTTGTTCCAGACCGACCCCGATGAAAAATTTGATTGTCATATATTGATTGATAAACATATATTTAAAATATTTATGTTTTCAGGATAACACGTGGAGAATTTATTTTGGACGTTATAAATATACACCAAACAAGAAGGGTTACCTTAACTTCAACCAGAAGCAACCCCTAGTGCTCAATTTAGATCTGGGGAATAACGGTTCTTTCGAGAAGAAATGGGTGAAAGGCTACAAACTCGACGAAAACAAGAAGTGGGTATATGGTTGGGTGCCAAGCAACTTTGTGTTTGCGTCAAAGAAGTACACAACGAAAACATATAAAGAACCAAAAATATAATAAAACAATTCAGACAGAATTAAATACATGAGAGGCGTAAGGACGAAGCTGTAAATTCTTAATTCATTTTGCATCTAGAACACCCTTGCTTCATTTTCCATATATTTCTGAAAAAATGTATATCCACGCTGTCCTAACTTCGACCGTTTATTTGATTTTTTGACCTACCGGATATTTGAAAATCAAGGATTACGAGTCTCATACTGCACCCATTTTCTTCAAACTTATTCCATTCAAAGCATAACAAAAATCCCTTCCTGATGGTACATTATTCTCTTAAAAAGAATCCCTACTTCCAGCGGTATTTTGGTCCCCAGCTGTAAGAAAGCCTTCTAACAGCTGGGTATCAAAACGCTGCTAGAACGAGGGACTCTTTACAATAAAGCAATGCACCGACAGAAAGACAATTTTGTTTTGCTTTTAATGGTATAGGTTTGAAGAAAAACGGTGCAGTATGAGACTCGCAATCCTTGATTTTCAAGCATCTGGTAGGTCCAAAAATTCAAATTAACGGTCAAAGTTACCTAATCCAACGAGCAATTACAAAGAAGCGCCAGTGTGAATAAATGTTGAGAATGAATAACATGGATCAACACAGATGTGGAAAGTAGGGGAGGGGTTAATATGTGCAAAAGCTTTGTAAAAATGTTTAAATCTATTGTTTCGATGATTCCAAGAGGATGAAGTTTCGTCGATTTATGCAACTTTATAAAATGAGGCTTGACCACACCCCACTCCCCCGCTATATAACACCTAACACGTCCTACTAGATATAGTACTTTGTAAAGCAGTAATCTAGAAATACAACAAAATTAGTTTCAGCAAATAAGTTTTATTTTGTTTGTTATGTCACCACCACGAATGATGACATATTGTTAAAGTCTCCAACTTTTTGTTGACGGCATGTCTCGTTTTGACTTGGCTTGACTAATTGTCATTGTATTAATCATTCTTAATTGATTGTTTTATCAATGAATTGATAATGAAAATTAAAAATAATGATAAAAAGTAATTCTGACCATTAAAAGTATATCGAAGACGATAAACGATTCAGAACAGATTGTGATTATGAATATTGAAAATAAAACTATCATGACTATGGAAGTGAGAAAAAATCACTCGCGTAGAAAACAGCATTGACAGTTCAAAGATCTTTAAATATGGGCACGCACACTTTCACGAACGTATTTTTGAATAACTTAAATGAATAGATGACGTACACGGTCAAAACATACAGCTAAAGTGAATGTGTCACATGGTTGAATATCTACGCCGCTTAATGTTTGACATTAGAGAAACTTTATTTTAAAAATTGACAGATCAAACATGTGACCGATTGAACAAGTGATGTCTTGGTATACGATTCTAACGGTCGACCCCTGTCTCGCGACCATTTTGTTTTGTGCAGTACACAGATTATTCTTGTACATTTTTTTATGAAAATGAGAAAGAACTGACCATGCGTAATATCATGGGCTTAATATTAAGATGTTTCCATTTGAGCAAAATTTCCTTTAATGCCAAATTTGCGTTCTAAATATTAATATCGAAGACGATCACGTTAAACATGTTAAACAATTTAGAACAGATTGTACATCGTGTTTCTGTTTAGGAAAAATGCGGAGGTCATTTTTCTGGCTCCAAATTCGAGCCATCTTACAAAATTTAATCGACTCGCAAGCTCTGTAAGGGCAATCGAGCAACTGGAAATCATTGGACACTGACTAACGATGTTCTATGGTATGCATGTTATTCTTGGAAAAAATATATCTATATACAGTTTGTAGTACAAAAATAAGAAAAAGTGAAATCGGCAAAAATGGGACACTCGTGTTTCAAAAGTAAATATTGATGGAAACATATTATATTAAATACCAGTTTCAAAACAGGTTTTCAAAATCTAAAAACAAGTTTTTTTGTCAACAGAAACAGATGTTCAATATGTACTTCATGCTGATCAATTAAAGCCTTCAATCTTTGCCTAAACTGGTCAATAGCATCATTGATATGCTTTTGAAATTATGAATTCCACTTCATTCCTTGGGGGACTAAATAGATGTAAGATGTTCATCACAATTTTGTTGGTTCTCCTTATACGTGGTAGTGGCGGACGCTGGCATCGGGTGATCTGGGGGGGGGGGCAATGATTAAGATGGATCGAGGCACATTCTCCTTTAAATATTTGAATGTCTTGTGGGATCTATGACTTGAAGCCCTATCTTGTTGGAAAATGTAATGATCCGAATATGAGATCAGGAATAAGTCGTCTGTGTATGACATATTGATTCATCCCCCTTAATCACTGCCCCCCCCCCAGTTAACCCGATGCCAACGACCGCGATGGGAGAACTAACAGAGTTGGTGTACCATGAACCCCTTACATATATTCAGAACAGAGTTGTTTTTAAATGGTATTCATTATTTCAAAAGCATATCAATGATGCTATCGCCAAGTTTATGCCAAGATTGAAGGCTATAATTGATCAAAATAGTGGACATATTAAACATCTATTCATGTTACAGGAAAACAATGGTTTTTCAATCGGATGGTGTCATATTGTTAGAAAATGATGATTTTGTCAGCATTTTTTACACATGACCTTATACATTCCTTCCATTTGTGTTGCCTTGCCCTATTGCACATCGATGTTTACAACATCTATTAGCAAATATCCTATTTCGGAGTTTACTTTTAAATTCCTACACTAAATAGCTTCCGCATCACTGTAAAGCACTGGTGGTATTTTCAGTTGATAAAATGCAGAGTGAACCATAACGAAACTTGGTTTGAAACCATAACTTGGCATACATCTAGAAAATTGTTAGCAGTTGACTTCCATAGTGATGTTTTATTGACCACTTTGCGAGGCATGCTGCTAGGGCATTACCACCATGAGCACCAGTTTAAAAGGCTTGTGTTTAAGCAACATTAACTTGAGCACTAGGTGGTGCAACAGTGGCTAGCCATAGTGGTCATTATCCGTTTTGATCCAAGGCGAATCACAGTTTGCACTGTTCTCAATAACCTCATTTCAGCGGAAAACATGTTGGAATCTGTGCAAGTCCCTGCGAGGTAATTGACCGAATTTTTTAACCTAGCTCACTGGATACATGGTATTCATCCTCTATCCCGTTAAAATATTGGCATGTGGAACCCCATGTAGCACCAAATATCCAAATCATCATCAAGCTATTAGTCCATGGTATGACTTCCGAATATGAAGGATCCGTAGCACACTATAGCGCAGCACTATTTGAAACAATATTTATGAAGGTGTATATGTCTTGATTCTTTTGAAATACCATTTTCTGAAAAAACTTCCGGCTTTCGGGTCGAAAAATGTCTTTCATCACAAGGGGTCAAAAAACGTAAATAATTTGATTCGAACTTTTATACATTTTATAAGACACAGAGCGTTATTCTAAGCATACGAACAAAAAATAGATATTCATAATGTAAAAATATACTATAATTCTACAGTAGATGTCGGTGTTTAATTAGTGTAATTACGCAACACTCAAAACCACTTAAGTGTGAAATTAATTTTGTTAAAAAGTGAAAAAAATTCTAAAATATTTTTTTCAAATAGACATATAGTATATATCTGTATACAATTGTACATTCGTTACCCAAGGCATTGAAGTAAACTCCTAGGAAAAATAGACGAAATTTCAAATTGAAATTAGGGTCCGTCTCAAACTTGTCGATTTTCACATCTTGACCCCCTGATTAATATATCAAGCTATTCAAATTAGAATGCAACATTTTCAAAAAACCAAGAAAGTTCCTCATGGTACTTAACTGTCCTTTAAAATCGCAAATGGATTTGGACTGCAAGCTTTTCCTTTTTGATGTGCATCACTTGTCAACATGAACCAATAAAATCTATCATTTTTCTCGATTTTTTTACTTAACTTTTGTTTTTCATTTGAATAAATTGAAAGGGTCGACTTTATTGAAACGTGAATCGATGCGATCATAAAAAAATGATCCTAAAGACGATGAAAAATGATAACAGTTTTATTTGGGAAGAATTGATCATTACGCTATTTCACTATTCAACCGCATGTCGATTTTCACAAGACAATTAGAAACAAAGGACAATGATTTAGAAAGTTCATTTTAGGGAACGCTTACTTCACGAATCGACATTTTTGATATGTAGGATATAACTAGCTGAATTGAGAAACACACAGTTTGTATTTGCATCCAAATATGACCACGTTTATGTAAAATTTCCCGTCAAAACAGGACATACGTAAAACATGATTTGGAGAATCCTGTCGTTTTCCAGATTTTATTCTAAAATATCGTCAAAGAAAATAAACTTAGGACATGTACGTATTACGTCCGCAAAGTCTATATGCACTGAACACATCTTTTCTACATCCTTTTCACACCAACTTTACCAAAACATTACACTGATTCATGAGACAAGGGTTTACATTTTTAGATTGATTGAGAATTGGGTGACAGATGCCATGTCGTTAAAATATTTTTTGACACCCTTGGCATATGTTTCCCTTTTATCTCATATACCAGGTTTGGTACCTTGCCTTGTTTTTACAATTTGAGTAATTTTTCCTTCCTAGTAACGTTTTTCCTGCATGTATCACAACAACAGGACAACCATTTACGTAATATTGGAGTGCAATCAGCATCTATCTAGATTTCTAGATCTGAAATGTCCCTTAAACATATTTCAAATCAAGAACCCGATACTTATTCTACTCGAGTGTACGTTGTCAATTGAAACATATGATATTGATGTCGAGTCGAGTCCAGTAAGGCTAACGTATACGTATAGTTCAATCATAAAAATAATCTGCACCGGTGTAGAGACGTTTCTCTTGACACCATCATCTGCGGAGCGCTTCGCCGATTAACCCCCCCCCCTCTCCAAGTTCCTAGCACAAGACTTTTTTCCATGACCACCGGAAGTGTTTTTATTACTATGCTTTCTTCATTCTGAGATTTTTGTTTTAGCCGCTATAATTTCCGCTTTAGAGAAACAAATTTCTTTCTTGTCAGACTCGATCCCTTTTCCGGATTTCCGATATCACATCTCACAATTAACTTTCGCTATTAAATTTGTTTCTTCTGATGTTTTGTTTGAAGCTCTTGAAGTCTATATATTTTAGTGGTCTACCCCCGGTTTTATTTTTCGAAGAAAATCATCTCGCTTTTGTTGCCTCTATCGTCGATGGCGCACCTTGTGCTTTATGTTTCTATAATGCTAGTTAATTTGATTGGCGATATTTTTCAATGAGGAACGTAATTTTATGCACCTCATCTCTTGATTTTTTGATTTTTTTTATTCTCGGACATTGATTTGCAACGAATTACGTTTGACGAGGGAATTCCGAATGTTGCACATCAGATCGTAATGTATCTAGTAGATCAGATCGTAATAATGAAATTAGAAAGTAATAATAAGCAAATAGACATCGTTGAAAAGCTAGAAA